CTGATTTTTTGTAGAGATGAGGTCTCGCTGCCCAGGCGGGTCTCGAACCCGTGGGCTCAGACAATCCACTCACCTCAGCCTCCTAAAGGCGCGGGATTACAGGCTGAACCACCGAGCCTGGCTAAGAATTACTTCTTTTTATAGGAGCTCCCTGACCAATTAACAAGGTTCACAAATAACCATAATACAGGGTTTATGATAAAGTCCATAGGAAAACTACACTGAAGTTCTATGGAAGTTCAGAGATCAAAGGATCAGAGGCAGCTGCTTCCTCAAGATGACTTTAAAGTATCCAATAGAATTTAGTCCTAATATAGAAAGTTAAGAAAACAATTCAGGCTAAGGGAACAGCTTCAATAAAGGTATAGAATTAGAAAACCTAATTAGGGATATGTATGAAGAACAGTGAGTCATTTTTGACTGATATTTGACTTATTTCAGATAAAGTAGTATCTATGAGTTTCTAAACATTAGATTGACCAGATTCTAGAAAGTCTGAAATACTAGTCAAAAATAAAAGATATATTTTATTTTTATATTTTATTTTTCAGCTGATAGTGAAAGCCATTGAAAAGTTTTTGTGAGCTACTTCGGTCTTTGATCTCATGAGAAAGGGATTTATTTATTGATGTAGCTAAAGAATGTTGTTATCAGATAGTTTTATTTATAAAGTAGCTTTAAGGTAAAAAGCTAAGGACACTTTAGAAAAATAATTAATTTCTCAAACAGAAAGGACTGCATATAATGCCAAATGCTTTTGTTAACTAATATGATTTTCTAATTTTAGGTATCCAGAATGCTACCAGGGGGACTCTTAGTTCTTGGAGTATTTATTATTACTACTTTAGAACTAGCAAATGACTTTCAAAATGCCCTGCGCAGAGTAAGTCTGACATATTAAAAATTCTTAACAAGTTCAGAGTTACATATTATTTTTATTGATTATGAGTATATACAGTGATCCTAGACATATTGCTCTATTATACTGGGATTATACTGGGATTTATGCTGGGATTATGTTGAACTAGCTTTTTTCACCCAAGTGCTTCGATATCTTGAGGGAAATAAATGTAAATATTTATATTTTTAATCAAAACTATATATTTAAAAATTATAATTAGTTAAAGATAATTTCTGCTGGGCTCGTGGCTCAGCCTGTAATCCCGCGCTTTGGGAGACTGAGGTGAGTGGATTGCATGAGCCCACAGGTTCGAGACCCACCTGCAGGTGAGACCTCATCTCTACAATAAATCAAAAAATTAGCCGGGCGTGGTAGCGCGCGCCTGTAGTTCCAGCTACTTGGAAGGCTGAGGTGGAAGGATCACCAGAGCCCAGCAGGTCGAGGCTGCGGTGGCCGGGAGCGGCCATTGCACTCCGGTCTGGGCAACAGAGTGAGACTCCAGCTCAAAAAAAAAGATAATTTCTTAATATTATGAACCAAGCTATAATGCCTTAATAGTTTTCCTTTTGCAGCAGCAGTATTGTGTTAGACTTTCCATTTACTACCAAGTGATTGCTACAGTATTATGCTGAGATTCTTCACTTTCTGTTCAATTCTCGAGATCCTGATAGTAAAACATAAAGAAAGAACAAATACTTGTTTCTTTAAATTTCTGAACAAAGTATCTATTCTGAATCTCTTGTGTTTTTCTTTTATTCCTGTATCAGAGAATTGGGTAATGTAGTCTAAAAGTAAATATAAAAGTCCACAACTATTTTGCGCTAAACCCACATCTAAGGCAAGCACTGTGCAGCTAGCTTTCATCTCTTTTAGTGTTCAAGATCCAAATAAGCCTTCAAAGGGTATAATTTTAAGGCTGGATGGGAATTTAGGGACATTATAATTGCCTTTTTCTGCACTCACTTCTAAAAATTTTGCATTCAACTAATGTGTGTTTTTCTCTCTTTCAGCTGATATTTGCTGTGGAAAAGTCTATAAGTAGAAAAAGAATATGGAATTTTACAGAGGAGGAGGTCTTAGAACGAGTGACACTTCACATTTGCTCTTCTACAAAAAAGTATCTTTTATTTAGGTGTTTATGGTTAAAAGTATATAGTACCAAAATAATGTTCCTACAAGTTTTTTCTTCCCACTTATTTATATAATCATCCTTTAAAAGATAGGCATAGTTTTGTAAAGTTTTCTGTAAATAACACAGAATTGGAGTTAGCAATAATGATGATAATAGCCACAATGGTTGTTAATCATGTCCCAGAGTCATAGATTGAGATCTGAGACAGCAAAGACTCAGGATTCTGATTTCTTTACCAGCTATCTATCCCTGTACATCCAAGCACCAAAAATCTCTTAGAGATAAGTGCCCAAGTGACAGCTTAGGCAAAGTAGTTTTGTTATTATGTTAAAGTTTTCACCTCAATGCCTGCAGATAAAATGTGCAATTCAAACCATAGATACACCAGTTACATATAGGGCCTCCTTATCTTCTCTCTTTTGTACCTTTCTATGACGAGGTTACCTCCCAAGCAAGGAATGCCACAATCCAAGGGCCCATTAAATTAGGACTTTCAGAAAGCAGACTTTTAAAAGTGACCATTCCTGCAGAAGCTGAGCTTTTAGCATTGTTTAGCTAAAAGTTTCATGTATAAGCCATTTATTCAATAAACAGTCTCAGGCTTGATTCCATCCAAAACAGTGCTCTGTTTTGTTATGCAGAGGGTATATATGAGAAAAATTTCACAAGCTCTTCCATTCCATTCAATGCGATTAGCAGGATTTATAAATGATAGGAAATAGTTTTCAAGCACTGAAAGTATAATAGAGCAATTTATATAATTGTGTATGTATACATAATACGTATATTGGTATATACACATACATATATAAATCTTTAAATATAAAAAGTGTTATGATTTTTTAAGAACTATTGGATGGATGCATGCATTTTTTTATTATCAAGAATTATTTCTTTTTTTGGATCATTTCTGTCCTTAATTAGTAAAGAATATGTTGTCGAACTTATGATATTCATGATCCAAAGGTAAGAAAAATTACTCTTTAAAAATTTTTCTATGTTGGAAACTATTTAAAATTAAAATTCAGCTTTATATTTAATTTTTAGTAATTTTTATTGCTGTCACTTCCTATTGTCCACAATTATAGCTTTTATTTTGAAATATGATTAAATGTATTATAGATGAAGAAAACTTTTTTTTAACTGTTAAAATATCTTTTTTAAGCTTCTTCTATCTTGTTTATGTGTTTAGATTTATATGTGGGAGGCTAATAGTAAAAGTGATTGAGGACTTTTGGCAGCTGCAATGTCTGGTAAATAAGCTACCTGTATTCAGTAAAACTCAGAGTAGCATTTTGTTAAGGTACCTAAAAGTAATGTAAAAAAATAACTTTGCACTATTGTTAGCAAGGATGGGACAGAAAGAATGCCTGGCACCTAGCTGTTGCTCAGAGATTATTTGTTCCTCATCAGAATATTCAGAATTGATACTATTGATGTTCCAGGAGATGGCTAGAGGACAGGTCTTTTCAGAAATTTGAACAAGGAACTTTCTGATCCTTTCTCTGCCTTCTTCTGGGGGAGGGTAGAGGGTTGCCAAGACTGTCTAAGATATCTTGAAGAGTACTGAACTTAATGCGTGCTTAACTTTTTTATTTAGTTCTACTCTATAGTCCTTTGATCAAGAAATTTGACCTAATATGTTAGCTATCAGCTTGTATAATGTATTAGGTTTTATACTTTATGATGTATCGTTGATCCATGTACTTTACCTACCCACATCATAGTTTATTTTTTCTCCCTTCTTCACTGCTAGAGTTCAGCAAAACCAGCAGATTGGAAATATCAAAATGGATTATCAACCTCATGGCTTTCTTTAGAATGTACAGTTCACATTAATATTCACATCCCACTTTCCACTACTTCTATCAGCTATACTCTGGAGAAAAATACAAAGGTATCAGGGTGAAATGAATTTTCTATAGTGATTGCTAAATGAACAACCTGCTTTTATTTCAGTTTGTCAGTGTCATTCATTTTATAGTCCTCAAAAATTGCATTCTATTTATAAGAATGTTGTTATATGAATAACCTATTACCCCAGCCACATTAGAAATTTTTTTCTAAATAAATAAGATGCTAGTATATTTAGCATAATAGACACATATTGAATATTTGTTAATTAACATATAAGATATATTTATAAGATATATAAGTATATATAAGTAAGATAAACTGTTTGACTTTTAGATTTCTCTTGGGTCTTAGTTTTGTCTTACCTTTTCCAGTCCTTTTTGTATTTCTGTACTATTCTTTTGTTTATATATAGTTTTTCTTCTTTTTTCACATGAAGAAGTAGAACTTGCTTATTTTTTTTTCTTCAATACTGCTTTATATTATTTGCTTGAGGCTCTTTTTTCTCATGTATTTTTAAAAGATAATGGGCATTGAATTTTATTTGACTGTGGCCATGTAGTTAATAAACCTTAGTCTGTGATGTAAATTTTTTGGGGGATAACAAAATTTTTAGTGTAGGAAACTGGATTTAGATACTGGATTGCTGATACATAGAGATTTTTAATATTTCAGTGTATTAGATGGAAAAAAGTAGAGTATAGGGAGTGTATTTGAGATGGCATTATATCTGAAAGAGTTCCCTGTTGTATATCTTTTTAGAATGGACTTATACGCTGGGCCAAGCAAATAGAAAATGGTATGTATTTGATTAATGGACAAGTTAAAGATGAAGATTGCGACCTATTAGAAGGACAGGTGAGTTAAGAGAAAATCATTTTATGAACTGATTTATGCTTAAGGAAAAATAAAAGATGACTTATCTTTAATTCTTGCCTTCATGAGGTCAGGTCTTATCTAATTCTCATTTCTTAGGTCTTTTAAAGAGGGCAAATGTTTTTCTCAGAAAAATGATTAGAAGAGACTATTTCTGATATAATTAGAGTCTTGAAACCTGAAGTAGGGAGTGTCATTTGGATTCTGTCTAATCTCCAAATTGTAAACTGGTACTTATAACTGAAAGGCCACCTGTTATTTTGTGCTGTTAGTATCTTAAAGGCTATGGCCATTGTATAAGTGGGGTCCATAAGGCTTTTAAAATGGCTTTGACCTGAAGGAAGAACTTTGTTGATGTCTCCCTTTAGAGCAGGGGTCAACAAACTTTATGTAAAGAGCTAAGTACTAAATATTTTCAATTTTACAGGCCATATTGTCTCTTTTACAACTATTTATCTCTGTTGGTGTAGCATGGCAAGCAGCAGCTATAGATGATATATAAATGAGTGATCATGGTTGTGTTTCAGGTAAACTTTATTTAAAAAGACAAGCGATAGTGTGGTTTTTGGCCCAAGGCAATGGTTTGCCAGTCATTGCTTTAGAGGAATGAAAGTAGGGAATTAATGTTTTTTAAGTGTACACATTGATTGATAACAGAGAACATAAAGTAGCATCTATATAGAAAGCCAAACTAGGTAATAAGTAAGTAAAATAAGTAATTTTTTTCTAAGTTTCTTAGTATATGTATCATAGTTTCTAACTTGTCTTTTAAGTTTAATTTGTAATCTCAACAGTTTGGCTTTTTAACTTTTGTGTTTTTTCAGAAAAAATCTAGAGGAAATACTCAAGCAACTAGTCATTCTTTTGATGTCAGAGTGCTAACGCAGTTGGTAAATATTTTATAATATACTTATTTAAAATGCATTTTTTCTTAGAATAACCACAGTGAGATTATTTTTGTTTTTATGTTTATAATTAGAGGATAAAATAATTTTGGAGATGTAAGAGATTATATAAAATGTTATGTGAAAGTTATTCCCAAGGAACATTATTTTAATAAAACCTGTTTGGGTTTGTTGCCTCAAGAATATTAAAATTTTAACATCAAGTAGATAGCAATTTACAAAAGATATGCATATATGTATATATGTGTATGTGTAAAATATTTACATGTATGTAAATATTTTGGATTGTAGGTTTTGTAGATAAAGTTGCAATTCTTAACAACTTAAAAGTAAAAGATATGCATGCACACATGAGTGAAGAGTTGTCATATAATTAATTTGAAGTAGATGTATAACACCTCTGATTTATTTTTTAAAAAGTCACAAAATATTAGCAAGTTTTACATTTCTATATGGTTCTTTTAAATTACACATCTCCTCGAAAATTTAAATTTGGATATCTTGGAAATAAAAGGTTAAAGCCACTAATTATTCCTAAAAGTACATATGCCTTTGATTTTAATCCTGCTCACAATTATTCAAAAGAAGAGATAAAGGGTATAAAATAGCACATCCATGTTTGTAAAAAACTTAATTTCAGTGTTAGTACTGTATTTTGAAACAGGCAAATACTACCAGGACTTGTATTTTTTAACTGGATAGGATAGGATAGGATAGGATAGGATAGACTCAAAAGCAATTTAATTTTTAGTTTCTTCTTTCTCTGTGTTTAGCAATAGAGCATTACTAAATTGTCATTGAACTTTTGCCATTCACTATAAGCTCTCAGTTTCTTATTTCAATATCTTAAAAGTATTTTAGTGTCTTATTTTCTACCTTTGAAGTGTCCTTTGCTTTAAGATTGACTGTTCCCTACCCATATGCTCTTTACTAGTTAGTTAGGCTTATCTCTTGGTTTATTAAACAATTTGGTTAAAACTATTTTAGGGATAAAGTTGCAGTGGGGAGATATGTGGGAATATGGAGAGGCAAGTGAAAGATACTATAATTTTAATTTGTTGTAATTATATTTAATATATAGTACAATATATTTTTTGTCAATCATTCCACTGGTCACACAAGTGGAAATTTGGAAGTGACAAATATATATATAAGTAGTAAGACAGTACTTCTTGCCACTTTTCTACCATGCAAGTCTCACTGATTCTTTCTTTGCAGTGTTAAGCTTATTTTTTATTTTCCTTATTGTTCTACTGTCATTAGCCTTAGTATTATTTTACCTAGATTAGCACAGATAACTCTTGACTGGTCTCTCTTCATCTATGCGTGCTTGTCCGAAGTGATCGTTTCTCTGAAACCCTTTGTTTGTATATCTCTTGAATTATCTTTCATTTTTCTATTCTATCCTGTATTTAACCTCAGATTGTTTTTTCCAAATCACAATTTGCATTGATTCACCTTCAAATTGTTTTCAAAAAGTATTTACTGAATACGTACAAGGGTCCGACACTAATTATGTTACTCTCTTTGCTCAAAATGTCTTAATTGCTTTATATTGACTAGTTAGAGAAGTCTAATTCAAGGCTCTTTATCCTCTCAGCAAACCTTTTTGTTCTTATTTTATAACTCTTATTTTCTAGCCATATATACCTGTGCCTTTAAAATTATGTATGTTCCTGAGCCATGTGTCTTACCAGTGCCATCTTTTCTCTATCGCCCAGACTGTCAAAATTCCTTTTATACATGGAGATCTATCCCAAATCCTCTACTTGTATAAGATTGTACTGTTCTTTATAGCCAGAGGGATCTTTCCTTTTCCAAATACCATGTCAGTATCACAGAATTTCCTTTACTTGTGAACCAGTTAGATTCGGAAAGGCTGTTTGTAAGCCAGTTTATTCCTAAATCCAGGTAACCAAGAGGATTGCATGTTTGTAGAACCCAGGTATATTTTTACTAAGAAGAAATGAGTCAACCCTTATGTCCTTTAAGACTCTTTTCCTTAATATGTGTGTGTCTAGCCTTTAATAGTCTATTTTGGAAAACAATGCCCTAATTCACATATTATATATATAATATATATACATATATTATGCATATATTGTACATGTGTTATATAAGATATAAATTATTAAATGTGTGATAAGACATCATTTTTCAAAATAGAGTAGTTTCATTTACAGTAGAGATTTATGGAGAAGATAAGAGAACCTCATTACTTTTCCTCCACCCCTCCCCTTACTAATATATCAATGAACTCTACAAATGTTATAGAAGGCTTATTTCAGATATAGTATTAGACTTCTCTTATTTCTACTTGATTTGATGGTTGATTTTTTTTTTTTTTTTAGATTAAAAATATTGTTCATATAGAAAGTAAATTAGAGGGAGAGAGAAAAAGAAAATTCATCTTCCCAAGGTAGGGAAGGGGGTCAAAGCCAGGCAACATGGCCTGGCCATAGCTTGAAGAGCACATGGGCACACCATAGCTTAGCAAGGCAATGGAGGTGATGGTCTGGCAATGGCCTGACCTTTGAAATTAGTTGGTCTGTGGCAAATTTTTACCAACAAGACCTTGACCATGTTTAATTTTAAATTCTTTAAAAAGTGTATACATTACCTTAGACATTGCCTAAATTACATTAGACATTGACTGTTTATGCTCTTTCAGTTGCTTTATATTTACATTACTTCTGTTTATTCTAGTTTCACCGTTTTTTCTCATTTATTTCTTATTGCATAGGATCATAGATAATGCTTTTTACAAATTGCATGATTTGATTTTTTTTTTTAGAATTGAATCTGTTATTGAATGATTTATTTCAAGTGTTCTTAGAATATAAAACTGTTAATTTCTTGATTATTTTTTTTAATCACAATTTTTGTTTCTATTGTGATTATAAACCTCTAGTACAGGATGAGTGTCCCTTATTTGAAATACTTGGAACTAGAAGTGTTTTGGGTTTCTGATTATTCCAGATTTTATAATATTTGTGGAATACATACTAGTTGAGCATCTTTAGTCCAAAAATCTGAAATCTAATATGGTGTAATGAACATTTCCTTTGAGCATTTTGTTGATACTCAATACATTTCAAGTTTTGGAACATTTCAGATTTTCACGTTAGGGTTACTCAACCTGTAATACTTTCAGCGGTTTGATACTCTCCTTGTTTTGGCATTATTATTAAGATGATGAGATTTTAAATGTCATGAAACATCTGAAAACCAAGCAGGAGCTAACATTCCTTAGACTAAAGAGAATGGGACTGCATGATGAAAATGAGTGCTTACAACCACTAATATCATTTTCTGGAAACACGTATAGTTGACTTTTTTTTTGTTCTGAAGTTTAGCATTACGTCTAGTTTCTGAAAACTTTGAGTTGAAAGTTTATATATGAATGCATGTCTATCCATTGGTTATAATCATACCATATTTATCACATCCCACTTTGAATTTTAGTTATTTTTGTATATATTTTGTATTGTATACCTAATATCTCCTACTACATGTCTAAAAGTGCATCTTTTTATCTTCACAATTCTTATCTGAGTAATCTGCAAATAATATATTTTTAGTGACTATATTGAATGAATATTGGGATATTAGATTTATATATTAGTAAGAAAAATTTAGATGTAGTTGTGTTTAATTTTAGTGTACATTGAAAATGATCAGAAAATAATATATAACTAATAAAGAGAAATATGAAGGTCTTTAAATAATTTATGGAGAATATTTTCAAATGCTTGACTCAGTCAAAAACTTCTTCTCTTCATAAAATGGCTTATATGATACTTGAATATTTCCTATAGTTAATAATTGTTGGCTATTAGAACTTAAACAGATTTTGTGTTTCAGCTCCTGAATTCAGACCACAGATCGACAGCTATGGTCCAGGTCTGCAGTGGTTCTGTAAATCTGAAGGGTGCTGTGAAATGCAGAGCTTATATCCACAGCAATAAGCCCAAGGTTAAAGATGCCGTGCAGGTACAAGAAGGAGTATTGGTATATAAAAAAATGGAAGCATGTTAACATAGCTACTCAAAACCTAAATTTTATCTTTTTTCAGTCTCAGATTTTGTCATTATTAATTTTATTTTAACAGATAAAGGCTCAATCTGTTGGACAGTCCATATGTACCATATGATTGGTTTCAAGAAAGTGTTCTACATTTATGATTTATTAATACATTTGAAATCATTTCTTCTGAAGGAAATTGAATTTTTTAAATATTAGGAAAAGGACAGGAAGAATTATTAGGTAGTGTTTTGTAATCTATATAATTCAGAAATTTTAAAAATGATGACTGGCATTTATGTCACAGTTAATACATTTTCTGATTTGGAATACTGGCATTATTTGATGCGAAATTTTATTCATATTTTTGGTTAAAATTTATTTAGATGTGGTCTGGGCAAATTTTCCATTAAACTATAAGTGTGTTAATAAGAATATTAAATAAATGGAAATTTAAAAATGGAATGATGTATGAGTTATCTAGTGGACCCGATTATACTGGGAAGCAAATTAGAGGTTTTTTGATAATTAGATAATGTACATCTAAAGTATTTTATTTCTGATTATTTTTCCCCCCACAGGCAGTAAAGAGAGATATATTGAACACAGTTGCTGATCGTTGTGAAATACTATTTGAGGATCTACTTTTGAATGAAATGCCAGAAAAAAAAGTTATGAGTATAAAATAAGTTCTTTTTTTAACATATATTCCATTGATGTAGTCATAGAATCTCAAGATATAATAGATATGTAATCTTTTATAGCTATGTGTGTATTTTTTATAACAATATGTCATCTTTCATTATTGAATGAAAATTTTTCTGTTGCTACCCAGAAAAAAATTTTTGAATACTTCATAATAGCAAATCTGTTAACATTTAGCAATTTCAGGGAAAATTTCTTCTTAAAAGTTAATTCTGAGTGAACTTCCTCTGCCAGAATTAGTAAATTGTGTTGACATTTTAAAGCTAATATTTTTTGTTAGTATCTATGAGTTTTTCAAGAATTTAGCCATAAGCAAAATGTTATTTATTAGTGTTGAGTACTATTTAATAGATACTATTTTTATAAGCTACATTAGTTTATATACTTTTCAGCTTTTACTCTAATAGTCTTTATTAGGATTTTAAAAGACTGAGTTACAGTGTCTTACCCTTGAATAACTATTTCATCTTTTGGGAAACAAATAATTTGTACCATCTCAGTAACTTGTACTAAAAATAATTTTTTTACTCAAAAAGAAAATTAAAATATCAAGTATACTTTTTGAGGCTACACCCTTATCTTCCTATTTTTTATATTCAAATATGAGTAGATTTGTAATTCACATTTTGATATGTACATAATTGAAACATACATATTAGCTTGTTAAAGGAATATTTTTATGTTCATAGGAAAAAAGCATAACTTATCTATATAAGTAACTTCTTTTAGTACTATTGATAGCCCGTATATTAGATTTGATGGGCTAATCATGATCTTTTGTTTAAATTGCTAGTGTACTAGAATCTTGGGATTGCCAGATTTAATACTTCCCATAATTCACAATCCTGAAGTTCCATTTGCTAATAATGTATACTTTTGCGGAGACGTGAATTTGAATCTTACATGCAACATTTAGATTGAGGATTTTTTGTAGGGGAAGTATTTGGGACCTACCTGTACACGTTGTCAGTCAGGTAGCAGTCTCATCTTGGTATAGCTTTGTTTTTGTCACTTTACTTTCAGTGTGTGGTAACTCTTATGGTGTAAATCATTACTTCACTGAGCAGCAGTATATATACTATAGCTGAATTGTGAATTTTAATATTTTCAGTGGGATGGAGATGTATCCACTGTTAATAAGGATCAACCTTATCAGACGTATTAGTATACTCCTTTCCGTTTAAAAATGCCTTATAAAATGGTATTATGTCATTGTCCTGGTATTATTTTATATTGAGTTTATATCTGAAAGACATAAATATATATTTTAAACTTTAGTAACAGGATAATCATTCCAGCAACATATTTGTTGATTAAAGATATCAATATAATAGAATAAATTATGTGTAATAGTAAAAATAAATGTAAATTCTGAAGTTGAACTTATATACAGTAAATTGTTAGATTTTTGTCCTCATTGCACTGAGCTTATATTTCTTATATAGGTAAGATCTCTTAGGTACTATAATATGGTGAAATTTAGAAAGTATTCCATGAAATTAACTTAAATAGAATATTTTGCAAGCATAAGGAAGTCTCCAAAAGGCATATTAACTTTGCTTTCTTAATCTTTAAGGTAAGCATAGTCTTTTAATTCTGGCTGTCCAAGTAAAAGAACTCAATATTTCAGTGACAGCAAAAAATAAAGTAAAATAAAATAAAAAAATACGAGAATGCCAATCAATCCTTTTACTTATGGTGATATTCCTCTTCTTTGATTCCCTTTAATATGTATCCTAAGCTTTCTTCATTATTCACTATGAGCATCATTCAATTGTTCCCAGCTCAGTAAATGGTAAATAGGTCTCAGTAAATGACCTACTCATTGTGAAAATGTAGGTCGTCAGTTGTGAAATCTCTTACCTTCTTTCATCCTTGCTTCAAGCATCCGTCTGTTCCACTTGTCCTTTCAGAACATATGTAATCTTCTTTGCCTGTGTCCATGATCCACCCTCTTAATGGCACTTCTCATCCCTTTGTGAAGATGTCTGCTTATCCTTTAAGATCCAGCTCTGGTATCACTTGATCTAAAAAAAATTCTTTAATACTTCTGTATGAGCTAGGATCCCATTTTTAACCAGTAGAAACCCAATTCTTGTCATATTGGTGTAAATTGTAACATTTTAATCTCTGCTTTGAACTTAAATACTGCTGAACTAAGTAATCTGCCATGGGGATATTCCTTACAGATTCTTCTTTGAGACGTATCTTTTCAAAAAGATTTCTCCTCCTGTTTTTAACGTCAGACTAACTAGAAAACTTGGTCTTATTTAGATACTAAAGTGCTAATTTAACATTTTAATTTGAAAGTTATAAATGCTTTCTCTTTTTTAATGAGTTACTTAGATTTATTGTAACCAGTTCTTTAATATTTGGTTTTATAGCATATTATTTTTTCAGACAAACCTAGAATTATAGTTTGAAATGGCTTTAAAATTCTGCATCCCAGTTGCACATACAAATAATAGTAATCTTTGAAAGTTTTTACTTAATCTGCTTCAGCTAACTGTGGCCCAAAATAAAATTACAAATTTCCAACTTTAATGTGTAGACAATTTGTATGCTACAACACAAATTGCAGTAATGTAATCCTACAGCTAGGAGGCAACCTGGTCAAAAAGTAAAATTGTTTTCTCAGTTCTCATATGCAAACAAGATAATGTTCAAAATCTGGAAGAAACATGCAATTTCAGTCATAGTCTTTTCCATCACATTTTCCAAATGCCATTGTTTATCATATTCTGTTTGTGATTATGTAAAGTTACCACTAGTTTCCTGGCAAGGATGTATGGGTTACTATTAAAGTGAGACCTAGTTTTCTACGTGATCTTTATGTTGGTAGCTTTTAAATCATATCTGTTGCTGAAAGAGGTCATTCTTTACACAAAATTTATATCTTTGTGGTAGTTCAGTAAAATCATAGTGTTGAACTAAAAAGTAATACGTATTTATGTGAACCTGTTAAATCTTTATGTTAGAAATTGGAGGAAATAATATGTTCCAGTTTGTAATCATTCAAAGAGGAATGAACCCTAATTATTTATTATTTATCCAGGTATAGATTTTTTTTTCTAAAAATGATTAGGCTGTTTACAAAGAGGTATTATAACAAGAGAAAAATAAATAGAACTTTAATAATAAATAAATGGAAGATAAAGAAAGCAAGATGGGGTTGGTAGTGAGATTAGTACTCAAAATGTATGTCTTGATGTTCTAAACATGCTTGTAATAGGAAGGGGGCTACATCTAGTACAATAAAGTCAATAGGAAGTTAGAATGAAAATGTATACTATGATATCTTTGCACTTAATGTAAGGTGGGACACTTATTGGTCTCCAAACTTGCATGAAGAAGGGAAAAATCAACTGTAAAATTTAGAGTGCTTACAAGGTTAAAACAAACAAGAAGTACAGTTTCTAAGACCAAGGACAAATTTCCCTTTTGAATGCTCCTTCATAAAACAGTAGGTCATGCAAGAATGTGTAATCGACTACATCTTTATAGTGAAGGTAGTGATAATTTTATAAGTATTATAGGCAAAGGCCACAGGTATTAAGGTAAAGCAGAATTCAGGAGGAGCAATTTTGTGCCAGAATGATTAGAAAATGAAAAAGCATTGATCTCTTAAGCATTTCTGTTAGATGTTTTTGTGTACTTCTAAAATGTATTTCACTGATACCAGTGACAGATCTATCTAAATGTTGATGATACTCTTTCTCCTTTTAGATTCTACAAAAGAGTTCCATATCCTTCCTCACCGAGTTTTTGTCCCCATTCCTGGATCCACTGTAATGTTATGTGATTATAAATTTGGTGATGAGTCAGCAGAAGAAATCCGAGACCATTTTATAGAGATGTTTGATCATATGATTCAAATAGAAGATTTGGAAATTGCAGAGGAAATAAACACAGGTAATTACATGATGTTATTTAAGAATCTGATTAGACTATAGCTAAGATTACCCACAAGACATCTAATTTAAATATGTCTTTAGATTTCTTTAAAGCTGGTTCTGTTTGATACTGCAAAATATTAACTGAGGCATTTGAAAGAATATCTGTTTAATTGCCATATATATATGTGTATATATATATATATAGACATGTAGTGAGTGCTTTCCTGGGAAATTACACCAAAATTTAAGACACTTAAAGCCTAGCAAGTTGGTCTTCATAAAATAAGTTCAGCCTTAAATAGGTAGAGTTGTAACTCATTTAATATAAAAGTTTCTATAAATCCATATTCTTATTTGGTAAAGTGTCATATAAAGTTTTTTTTAAAAACTCCTTATTTTTACCTTTCTTTCCATATTCCCTTCATATAATTGGGACACTAAACTGAAATAAAGGGGCAGTTCCAAAAATTAGATTAAGTTTTTTTTTTTAACAGCATGGATTTGCCATATTGTCCAATTATGCAACACATTTTCTTTGTCTAGCTATCACTTTCACGTTTGACCTTACACTTTGAATGGCTGTTTTGTTTTGCTTTGCTTTTTTTGTTTCTAGTGAGTGAAGGATAGAAAACATGTCTATAAATGAATATGTAAGTATAAGATAATCTTACTGAAACATTTAAAAAAGAGATCAACGTAATTATTTATAAATATCAGAAAATATTGGGTAGATAGCTATTTATTTATCATTCTTACGACTTATGATATCTTAGTAGAAGATTTTTAGGTTCCTTTAGGATATGAGTATGAAATTTGAATATAGCAATTTTTTAAGTTTCTTTTCTGATTTCTTATTTATTCTCCTTTGCAAAACTAATTCCTGCTCCCCTTAGGAGTAGTGTTTAATTAAGAATGCACTTGAGATCATATTTCATGAAGTAAATATTTTATTGAGAATTTCAAATATTTCAATAGACTGCCTCAAGGAAGTGGAGACCACCAGGTTTGAGTTTTTTCATTGACTTCAGGTTAGAATTGATCTATGATGTAGGCAGTAAGTTTGTTTTAATTGGGAAAAACTATTATAAATTGCTCAATAACTGATGCTAAAAAACAGCTGTATTTTAATCCCATGAGAACTAATATTTTTAAAGGTATAACTGCAGCATATTCTCTAGCAGATGGAAAGTATCCTATTTTTTGAAAGTAACTGATAAAAAATGTTTACTACTTTTCAATGAAATCTCAGATTAGTGACTGTGTTATCTCTGCCAGCCAAACATAGAATCATGGGGGCTGGGATTTGTGTTTGCTTCATTCACTTCTCTGTCACTACTGCCCAATAATAGTTTTTCAGCCATTCTATTGTTGATAATTTGAATGAATTTTATAATGTTGGTAGGTACATTAAAGTCAACCTAATTTATAACCTCTTTCTGATAATACTGAAATCTATATCTCTAGTAGCTGGGTATGTACAGTCTGTTCTTTCTTATTCTAAGTACCAATCTGCCTCCCTGTAGCCTACACTTTGTTCAGTAATAGGGAGCAAAAGACATGAGTACTGACTACTGCCTTATTAAGACCATGCTTTAAATTCGAGGGCAGCTATCATGTTCTAAATATTTCAAGGCCAGATATTTGCACATAACTCTTAACTGTTCTCTTTATTATAGTTTCCAGACCACATTTTTTCTTACCACCTTGTTTGCCTTCCTCTAGATTAGGAATTTTTAACCTGTGATACCCCAAATCCTTGGGGTTAAAGCTGACTTTTAGAAGATCCACAAACCACTTGAAAGTAATTGCATAATTTCTTTCTGAGGAAAAGATCTACAGTTTTCAAAGAGTCAGTGACCTGAGAAAAATTAAAAGTTACTTCTTTAAATTTACTCTGATTTGCCTTTTTGAAATATTACCCTGAATTGAACCTTACTCTAAAAATACTATCAACCATTATTTATATAGAACCTATTATCTGCCAGGTACTGTTTTAAGAGCTTTATAAATATTAAATTACTGAATCTTTATAACAATACTGATACTATTATCAATCTTGTTTTTCAGATGAAAGAATTAAATCTTAAAAACATTAAGTGACTTTTCCAGGGTTATATTGCTAGTAGTGGTGGAGCTAGAATTTAGACTTAGAGAGTTTAGTTCTAGACTCTGTTTTTTTTCCTAACAATTTTGTTTTACTGCCTTTCTGTGGAACCTAACCCATGCAGACTACAGTATTATCAATTTCCATGATCTAGATCCTTATGTTAGCTGGCCTTCTTCATTCTGTCCCTTTAAACATTTTTAGACATCAATGAATGATGCTACATTTTTCTGGTTTAATTTCATCTAGATTACGTCAATATAATTTCTCACTTGTTGACTAGCATCTTGGATCTGTTATCATATATGTTTCATATATATGGTTTCATATATGTATCATTTAGTGGGTATCACATTCTTAAACTAAGAATGATTAAAGGCATGATTGAACACAAAACTTGCCCCATTTACAAGTTATTTTAAAAATCAAATATAAGAGTAGGAAGAGGGAGAGATTTCATTTAGATTTTTTGACTCATTTGTCTTAAAACATATTTGTAACTTACTGTAATTAATATCATGTTTTATTTTAGACATAAATGTATAGACTAGTTTATATTATTCAATGATTTTTAAGTTATAATTTAAAAAATAACTAATAACAGGTAGTAATCTCAGTTAATAACAGAGGTCAATGTTCTTTTTTTATGCTACGAAGACACTAAAGTGTAAGTAGCTTCTACCACTGTAATATATTCTTGAGGGGTGACTTTAGCAATCTTGCATGATACCCTCCCCAGAACCCAATACATTCAAACCCTTATGAAACCATTATATATGCATTTTAGCAATCATTTTTTAAATTTTTCCTATGGGAAGGGACATTGTCTCTCTTGTTTACTGTTGTATTTCTAGCCCTTTAATAAGAACCTAGCCTTAACGCATTGTAGATACTCAGTAAATATTTGTTGACTGAACAAATTACTGATTTTATCAGTCCTAGGGATTGAGGTCCAAAGAATAACAAAATGCTGGTCCTATCTTCAAAGCACTAAATAGAATTCTTTTTTTCAAAATCAGTGTAGATACTAACTTTTCACTAACTTTTATGTGCTTAGACAGGGTCAACTCCAGTAAACGTTCTTGTAGTTTCCTGCTCTGTGCTGTTCTTTTATATTACTTTGCATACTTGTAATTACTTAAATCATCATTTGCACATTTAATGTTAATCTTCACATTAGATTGTAAGATCTTTGAGAGTAATTAGGTAGAATATTTATTTCTTTATCTGGGCTCTGTGCCTAAAACATAGTAGGTGTTCATAAGTATTTATTACTAAATGAGTAATACTAAATACATGATTTTTAAGAAATCACATTTTTTTCACACTTATTTTATGCCTGAAAAATTATAAGCTTCTACCTAGCCAGATATAAGATTTTTCAGGTTTGTATAGGGTCCAGAATTGAACATGATGAGAGTTTAAAAAGGATATAATAGTCATAACTCTATGGCTCAGTAGTTAAGAATATTTAAAGAGGTGTAGAACATTTAAAAGATGTGAAAATATGTAGCACTTATTGTTGCCCCAGAAATATTAATCTACTTTACAGCATTTAGTATGTCTTTTCATCACATATTTATTAAGCATTTGCTCTGTGCAAGGCTATATAATAGGTACAAATCAATAGCTGAATTCCTTTTCTTGAGAAAATTATCTCAAGAAGCCTATGGTCTTATTTGGAAGATAGAAAGTGTATGTATGATTAACTATATAGAGAATATAATCAGGTCCTAAGAGTACTTAAGAACTGATCAAGATTAGTGATCAGAATTTTAGTGTCATAAGTGATTTGGTTAATAATTCAATCAGAAAAAAAAACCTCAGTTTTAACTATTAGGAATAGCCTGTAGTCTACAGTAACAAAATTTCATCATTAGTATTTCAAGATTTTAGTAGTCGGGCTTGGTGGCTCAGCCTGTAATCCCGCGCCTTTGGGAGGCTGAGGTAAGTGGATTGCCTGAGCCCGCGGGTTCGAGACCTGCCTGGGCAACTTGGCGAGACCTCATCTCTACAATAAATCAAAAATCAGCTGGGCGTGGTAGCGCGTGCCTGTAGTTCCGGCTACTTGGAAGGCTGAGGCGGAAGGATTGCCGGAGCCCAGCAGGTCGAGGCTGCAGCGGCCACTGCACTCCAGTCTGGGTGACAGAGTGAGACTCCAACCAAAAAAAAAAAAAAAAAAAGATTATAGTCTATTCTTTCCCTCTTTTCATTGTTTATTATTACAGGTTGAATATTCCTAATCTGAAAATTCCAAATTCAAAATGCTCCAAAATTCAGAATTTATTGGATGCTGACATAATTCTCAAAGGAAATGTTCCTTGGAGCGTTTTTGATTTCAGATTGGGGTAATGAGCTGATGTACTGCAAATATTCCAAAATTCGAAAAAATCTGAAACACTGATGCTGCCAAGTGTTTTGGAGAAGGGATACTCAACCTGTACTACTTTCATATTTCACTTAAACTGAATGTACACACCAGATTTTTAAGTTGATGCTGTACAATATACAGTAGATAATCTCAATTATATTAACAGTCCCATATCTTGAAATAAAAGATTTATTTTTAGCTTCAAAGCAATGTATTTCTTATCCATTATTGTCAGATATAAATGCTATTCCCTAATGGTCTTTATCACTTACATGCTCAGTAAATATATTTTAATCCTGTTTCTCAACTTTCTCTCAGTAAGCTTTGTTATTATCATTGTTTGTACCTTGTTAAATATTGGCATGAACCAATAAATAGGAAGTATTTTAAAATTTATTTTAAATACTACATAATATATAAATACCAATCCATATGTCTGTTTTTGTGGATTTTAATTTTCAGAAACTTAGTTATATGCATCACACTGTATTTAAAAATTATTTACTGTCTATATTTCTCTTTTCTATGCTGGCAGTCTAGTGTAGAGATGGATTAACTGAATAGGAGGAGTTTAATATTACAAGAACAAAGAAAACAAAACTGCAATTTGGAAAGTTTAGGTGTGTATATTTATATGTATGCTGTATCAAATTCATGGTTTCTAGATGGCATTATACATTGTTCTAATATTGTATAATATATTGAAGATACTACTTCAGTATGATAGGTATGATTCTTTCAGGACTCTGTCCTGCTTTGAAACTTTAAGCAAATCTCAACTGAGTGATTGAATGATTACTACTATTTATTAATTGCTTATTATGTATTAGTCGCCAGGATTCTAGAGATAAAATATATAGTCCTGACTCTGAAGAAGGCTTCTATACCGTGGGAAATAAGGAGAAATGGGATATTCCAATATAAGGTTATTAGATCTATATATAGAAACACTTACCAGAGGCACTGTCTCTGTACTTAGGGTAAACTTCTCAGAGCAGGTGGTTAAGTTGATTTTAAAGGATGAGTACAAGTAAAAGTAACTAGGCTTTTAAGGAATTGAACACTAATATGAGATGTTTTGTAGCTAAGAGTATGGTTTGTCTAGAATTATATTATTAGCTTTGCTTCATCAAGTGCTTTATAAACTAGAAAGAATAATCTAGTAATTCTATATGTATAATAGAGAAAAGATTCTCAAAAAGTAGAATAGGATAAAAACATAAATTTTAATGAAAAATTAAGTGCTTTTACATAAACATCCTATTGTTTTAGAATTATATTCACTTATTTATTTACTCATTAATTCATTCATTGATTCATTTACTCAAAGATATTAGATGCTATGATTTTACCAAGCTGGTGTTTTAGCTTGAGTACAGGTTTGTCACTTACAGATGTAGAACCTTAAACACGTCCCCTCGGGATAGGGGGGATTATTTTTTTATTTTTTTTTTAAGTGGAAGTCTCACTCTGTTACCCAGACTGGAGTGCCATGGCCACTCCCAGCCACTGCAGCCTTGACCTGCTGGGCTCCGGCGATCCTTCCACCTCAGCCTTCCAAGTAGCTGGAACTACAGGCGCACGCTACCATGCCTGGCTAATTTTTGATTTATTGTAGAGATGAGGTCTCGTCAAGTTGCCCAGGCAGGTCTCGAACCCGCGGGCTCAGGCAATCCAAGGGGGGATTATATTAATGAATTACTTTTAGACTTTTAAATAATGAACCTCTGAATTATAGTGAAAAACGTTGATTTCAAAGTGTGAAAGTAATATTTTGTAATATGCATAGGTTTTCCTAAATATTTTAAATTAGGGTTTTTATATAAAATAAATCATAAAACATGAAGTTCAAATGGTGAAATTTAAAAATTGAAATAAGTTACTATGCATTTATGAATAGTAAACTTGTAAGTATTTGACTTTATTTTCTAAATATTTGACATTAGAGATTGTGTTATCCCTAATCTGAAATCCCGAATGTTTCAAAACCCAAAACTTTTGAACACCAACATGATGCTCGATTTCAGATTAGGATGCCCAACAGTTACATTGCAAATGTTCCAAAATCCAGAAAAAATCTGAAATCCAAAACATATCTGGTCTTGGGTATTAATTCAATCAACTTGTATTATACACTTGATTATTGCTCATTTCTGTTTATAATATAGTTGCCAAGTAGTTGCTATGTTTAAAATACATATTTTGTCAAGTAAGTATCTTAAAATAACATACTTTAAATGACTTAAGAGATGAAGAACAGTTTGTCAAAATGACTCACTTAAGGTGAGGGATAACTATGGCTTTAAAATTTCTTAGATGTGTTAGTCATCTTCTAGTAGATATTTATTTAATAATTTAGATGTACTTTTTCTACAGCATCAGTTAAAAAAAATTTGGAGAAGCATCTTTAAAAATCTGGGAAAAATTATTTTTGCCAATGTAGTTTTGATATCAGAGCTGAAATTAATTTTTGTTATTTGGTTAAAGATTGATAGTTTAATTATTTAAAAAATGAATAATACTAAAGATGTCATTTTATGACTACCTACATGGCTGACTGTAGTGTTACATCATTAATTTAGGATTTAGGATAGGAATAAAGGCAAACAACTAAGGAGTTCAAGTCCTAACATTTCGTTTTAAGCTTCTAAATAATCCTGCCTGCCTTTCAGCAGCTTAGAATGAAATCTGGACAGGTCTGCAATTTTGCATGCATTCACCATGGCCCTCATTTTTTTCTTTTATTGACAGTTGCTCAAGAAGAATACTTACATGATAAACTTGAGATATTTCCGAATTTAAAATTACTTGGTTTTAAGAAATAGTTGAGATCTAATGTCTTAATGAATCACTGCACTATTTGCATTTACGTTTCAGATAGTATAATGAAATATTGGTGAAATGGCATCATGTCTGAAATTTGTATTAAGGCCTCCACCAAAAGTAAACAAACAAATAAATTGTTGTGATAAGGCCTTATTTATACTTGAAAAACATTTTGCTTTGGTAAAATTATCTTGAATTTGTATCAGATTGCATGATTCTGTATGACAGATTTTAAAATGATTGTAGAACAGTGGACTGTCTTTTATAGAAATAAATTATGCAAGTGACTTGACCAATTAGAGCATGATCCTCATATATCAATTCAATATTAAATGTATAAGTAATATATTATGACAACTAAAACAATTTTTGTGCTCTTTGTATATAAGTATCTAAGCTTAAAATGTTCATATCAAATTAAAATTCATACTTCATTCATTGTTTTATTTGTTATCTGGTATAAGGATTTTATTGGCTCAAATATGGAAAAAAACTTTAGCAAATATATTTGCTAACAGAAGAGTCAGAGTCTTTTTTTTAACATGAATATAATTATCTTTTCTTTTTTTCAGTTATTTTTATGCTGTATTTTTGTTTGTATTTATTTTATTATGTTTGTATGTTATCCTGTGAGCCTGTGCTAATATATTGGGATTCAAAGAATCTATAAGAATATTTTAAATTCAAACAATAGACTATTTTACTTTAAATTTATACTGTGATACTTACTATCTCTCACTCTGTAGTTTTCTTCATTTTTGTAAATAAAGGGATCAATCTGAGCTAGTTGCTCTCAAATGTAGTTCCCTGGGAGAGTTTGATAGAGCAGTACTCTTATCACATCTAGAAAGGAGGAAGGGAGCTGGTTGACTCCAGGACTCCTCTGTTCCTGCTTCAAGCTGGCTGGTACTACTACTTTCGTCTTTTCTACACACTGAGATTCCTGTCAGACTACATTTTAATATGATTCTTCAACACTGGGGGAAAAAATTGAAAACCACCAGCCTATGTAATCTCTAAGGAAGTGATCAGTTCAAAAACTTTGATTTAGTGTTAAATAAATTCAGATGGACCAACCTACATAAATGGCTGTCAGCATAATGAAGTAGAAAGAGAACTTATGTTCAAATACTCAGATTGTTTGTGATCCTCAAATATGTACTTAACCTCCCAGGTTTTGATTTTCATCTGTAAAATGTGGTAATATCCTTGCCCTGTTTAATATTCAGAGTTGTCAGCCGGGCTTGGTGGCTCAGCCTGTAATCCCGCGCCTTGGGAGGCTGAGGTGAGTGGAATGCCTGAGCCCGCGGGTTCGAGACCCGCCTGGGCAACTTGGCGAGACCTCATCTCTACAATAAATCAAAATTAGCCGGGTGTGGTAGTGCACGCCTGTAGTTCCAGCTACTTGGAAGGCTAAGGCGGAAGGATCACCGGAGCCCAGCAGGTTGAGGCTTCGGTGGCTGGTGCACTCCAGTCTGGGTGACAGAGTGAGACTCCAACTAAAAAAAAATTCAGAGTTGTCTTAAGGTCAAATTTCTGATCATATTGCTTATATGTTTCAAATTTCAAGGTAGGTCTATAGTTACCAAACTTTTTCTGTGTAAGGCCAAATAGCAAATATTTTAGGTTTTGTGGGCCACACCAAATCTCTTTCGCATATTCTTTTTTGTACAGTCCTTTTTAAAAAATATAAAAATCTATTCTGAGCATGAGAGCTATACAAAAATAGGTTATGGACCAGATTTGTTTTTATTGGCCAGATTTCTAGTTTCGTTATTAACACATAATTATTTGAAATTATTATTTGCTAAAACCACCAATAAGAATGATACAAGTTAATTTCAAATAAGAGTGAAGTTTCCCCTGCTACTATCTGGTTTGATTTTTGTTGTCATTTTTTCTTTAATACCATATAATGAACAAATTCTAATTTGTGGGAATCATTCGGAACTCGCTGTGTGGACCTCTGGCTTACACCAAGTGTTTTGAAGTGTCAGTTTGACATATATTCCATTAAATTTAATTCACCTACATTTGGTAATGAACAAATTCATCATGTTCTAAAAACGACAAGCACAAGGAAAATGGTGTTCATAGTATGTATTTTAAAAGATTGCATATTTTTTAAAAATTCAAATTTAAAATGATAGTTCTCATCTTATGTAGGATTTATTATTATTATACTCTTGCAGCCTATGTGAGTTCCTCTATCAATAGTCAATCTCCATTGGACGATATAGATGATGAACAACCAAAACAACCAATTAAAACTACAATAGTATTGAAAATGCAGCAAAACATAGGTACTTTATTTATTTTATAACATTGAAAAGATAATATTTGGATTTAAGTTTTCTTGTTACTTTAAAGTTATTTTCATTTCATTTTGCTTCCTTAAAAATGCTAAATGCAGCAGTATTTATTGAGTGTTACAGAAGTTGTGATGCCCTGGAGATAAAAAGATTTATAAAGAATGCATTGTCATCTAAGTGTCCTCAAAGATCACATACATTATTAATGTTTTTAGTATTTTTAGAAGAAAAACATGTAGAGTTTTAGGAATCAATTAGTATAGTAAGGCCAATGTTTTCCAAACTGGTATTCCTAGAATTACTATTACAGGAGATTTTGATATGTGTTCTATAAAAAGAAAAACAGGCATATTCAAGCCTGGAAATTTATAATGTACATTTGTGTCTTAAAGGCCCCAAGAAGTGCAGAAGTCGCTTTAACGTTTTTCAGACTTTTTGAACAAGAACATGTAGACTATTGTCTATAATGGAATAACAGTTTGAGAAATGTTATGCATTAGGATTTTTGACTGAGTTAGGGTAAGATTTAGCTGTAGTTCTTGTCACTCGTTAGATAACCTTAACTAAAGTTTTTGACGCATGTGCAGGTGTGTCTATCTGGACTACTGTGTTCAGTTTCTTTTTTAAAATTTAATATAATCAGAAAAAAAATAAAGTTACTAACCCAGACTTACTAATTCTTAGATTTTATAATGGTAGAACATGGACTTCTGTGGTTTCCATAGCTACACAAATGACTTTGCATTGTAATGGCTGAGAACCACAGCTTGTTGGAGTTGTCTTTTTGGTTTAAGCTAAGTAGCGTAAGACAGCTGTTACTCTAATATAAATATAGAAGGCTGTTAAAGTGTTTGTTAGTTTTTCTGTTAGATACGACTATGTGCCATACGGGTGCAGGAGAGACACTTTGACATTTGCGGTCTAATTTTTTAAATTACTGCTTTATTTTCCTCTGACACTTTGCTGGCTTTTAGTACAAACGTGTGTGTATGTCTAGTGTGTGTGTGTGTGTGTGTGTGTGTGTGTGTGTGTGTGTGTGTGTGTGTGTGTGTTTTGTTTTTTAGGCTCATCAGTTACTCACATTTCAGAGTCTAGGATTAGTTAAGCCTTTCTGTTTTTAATGTGTTTTGTTTGTTTTGCTTTTAGGTACGATTGCAGCATTTGCGGTTGCATTGCTTGCCGCAGGTATTTCCTTTCATTACTTCAGTGATTAGAGTGAGGCACAAAAAGTTTCCTGATCATCCAGAGAACATTGGCCAACAAATATGAATAATAAAGATGTAAACAACCATCTGCATTTAAGACAATAGCAATCAGATCTGCTGCCGTAATGCCTATTAAGTGTGTTTCTGACTAAAATGAAATCACCAACTGCCTTGTTTAACCTGCTTTATACTATAGGTGGTCCAGCTTTTCAAAAATAAAGTTATGTATCTAGATGGAAGTTGTATGTAACAAATCATTATTATCTATTTTTTAAAAGGTTCAAAATGATGAAATAATATACAATTTACTAATCTGTCCTACTTACATTAATCAGGACATTAAAAGTTTGAACAATCAGTGCTGACTTAATATGTTAGTGTAGAACGTCAGTCGAAATTTCCACCAGATGGGACAACCACCTTGGGATAAAGCTCATCCTCTGGAACCTTTTTAATATACTCTCTGCTTCAGTATACTTTGTGTTTTGTTCTGATCAAGGGGAAGGAAACCATTTCAGAGAGGTTTGAATCAGGAAATAATGACATAAATCGTGTACTTTCTCAGGTTACTATACCATAACTGTTTTAATATATTTAATATATAAAATAAAATGTTTGCTTCCAGCAGTATATTAGTCTAGGTATTGTAAAACATCTGTGTCCTGAATAAAATCTACTTTTGAATAGGCTCAAAGAAAGTAGGTGAAAACTCTAAGAACTACACATCTCTTTTTCTTCCTCCACAAAAATGAACACATTTAAAGTTGGAAATCATGAATATTTTATTAATCATACAGGTGTACTGCTGTTGCCTATATGACAGATACCAATAGCAGTACAGCCTTATGCAGTTTGCTTCAAACTGGAAACGAGAGATTTGAATCTGAGAGCCAGCTCTAGCCAGGACCGTTGAAGAACTTTAAGTGGTTCTCAGTAGTACTCCAGCTCTTAGGAGAAGCAAGGGAGAAACATTTCTAATGTAGGTTCACGATTCCCATAGTTTATGATTGCATAATATTTCATGAGTGTAGATCACTAAGCACAAGTTGAAACTAGCTAGCATGAGAAAGAAACTATAGAAAAATTAAACATTTAATTTAATTATTCAAGGTCTCATCACCAACATAAGAAATGAAGGATGAGCCGGGCTCGGTGACTCAGCCTGTAATCCCGTGCCTTGGGAGGCTGAGGTGAGTGGATTGCTTGAGCCCGCGGGTTCGAGACCCGCCTGGGCAACTTGGTGAGACCTCATCTCTACAATAAGTCAAAAATTAGCTGGGCGTGGCAGTGCGCGCCTGTAGTTCCAGCTACTTGGAAGGCTGAGGCGGAAGGATCACCGGAGCCCAGCAGGTCGAGGCTGCGGTGGCCAGTAGCGACCACTGCACTCCAGTCTGGGTGACAGAGTGAGATGCCAACTCAAAAAAAAAAAAAAAGAAATGAAGGATGGAACCAGATGCAGATCTGAAAAAGAACCAAATGGAACTAGAAATGAGAAACACATTTTATTATTAATAAAATAGAAAAAGAAACCTTCAGACATGGTGAATATCATATTAGACTCAGCCTAAGAAATGAGTGAACTGAAAACTAGAGCTAAGGCACTTACCCATTGAGCAGCAAGGAGAAACAGAGCTAGAAAATATTAGAAAGTTAAAGAGATGTGGAGGGAGGAACTTTGAAAACTTGGAGTAGGAGGAGAATAGAGAATAGAAGAGAGATACAATTTGAAGAGATAACATTTTCTGCATTTGTTAAAACATATTCAGAAAGCATAATATATTCCAAACACATATTTAAATAAAATTCAGGCCTAGACCCAAGGTAGTAAACTGCAAGATACCAAACAGGATTTTAAAAGCAACCAAAGGGGGAAAAATCAGTGAAGGCAGGACAGTAAAGCACTTTGTAGGATAATACCTTCAGAACTCTGAGAAAAACTAATCATCAGCTCAGAATTTGCACCAGGCATAATTGAAATAAAGACGTGTTCAGATGAAAAACAGATTTTACCATCAGCAGAACTTCATTAACAAAACTACAGAAGAATGATCTTCAAGAAGGAAGATGATTCCAAAAGGATGGTCTGAAGTTGAAGAACTAGTGAGCAAAAAAAATGATAAATATATGTAAACTTAAAAAGTTATATGTATAAAACAATTATAATGGAAAGTATTTATATGAAATTGTAAACAAATGTCAAACTAAATAAACATTGTTATACAACGTTAATGTGGAATTTGTAAAAAATACAATTGAAAAACTGGACAGTAGCTTATAATGTTGAAGGAAAGTGATTGTAATTGAAGTGTTCTGAGGTTCCTTTATTCAGAAATCTGGTTAAGATATTATATCACTTTAAAATTGGTTATGTAAAATGTGTGTAATGAAAGTTTAAGAGTAACCACTAAAAGGATAGGGGATGAATAATTCCAAATAAGAGAAATTTAAGATATAGAATAGGAAGGCAATATCTCTACAATTAAAAGAAGAAATTATGGGGGTAGGGAGCAAAATTAGAAAGTAAGATAATAGTAATAACTCAATAATATAAATATGAGTAGACAATATGAATAGACCCAATTAAATGACAGATTGATCAGATTTTTTTAAAAGCTCAACTATAGTGTGTTTAATAGAAAAGCAATGGAAAATAAGACATGAGAAGGTTGAAAGTAAAGTTTTTCAAAAATGCAGTAGGGAAATACCAAAATAAATATGTGTGGTTTTAGTGATATTAAATCAAAATTATACTTTATGTTATTGTCATTGAAGATGGAGAAGGCCAGGCACAGTGGCTCATGGCTGTAATTCAAAAATTCGAGCACTTTGGGTGGCCAAGGCAGGAGAATTGCCTGAGCCCAATAGTTCAAGCCCAGCCTAGGCCACATAGCAAGATCTCATCTCTATAAAAAATTAATGAGACATGGTGGCATGTACCTATAGACCCAGCTATTCAGGAGGCCAAGGTGGATGGCCTGAACCCAGAGGGTTGAGGCTGTGGTGAGCTGTGATGGTGCTGCAGCACTCTAGCCCAGTGCGGACAGCAGAGTGAGACCCTGACTCAAAAAATAAAAAAAGATGGCGAAGGTCACTAAAAATAATGAAAGGACAATTCACTAGGGATACTTAACAATTTTAAATGTATATGTACCCTATGAGATGACCTCAAAATGTATGAAGTATAGAGCTGAAACAACAAGTTGAACAACAGTGGGCAATTTCAGCAGTTCTCAATTACTGAGAAATCAAGCAAAGAATAAGTGGAAACATTTTAATATAGAATATCGATTCAGTGGACATAGAGTAATGCATTCAACAATTAAAGAGTATTTTTCTTAAGCGCTACATTATTTGCAAAAATCAACCATGTACTAGGCATGAAGTAAATCACAATAAATAATAACCCTTCTGAATGGATACAGAAACAAATAGAGGTCAGTCATGAAGGTTAACTTCTAAAAACATAAGTTTTTTTTAAAAAAACCTTTATAGATGAGAGAAGGAAACCTGAATACTCAGGACCTAATTACAAGAAAAATATTTTTTTAACAGTGGGTGGTAGAGCAGAAATAGCACTTTGAAGGAAATGGCTTTAAGTACTTAAATAAGGGAAAATACTAAATATGTGCTTAAATTAAAAAAACAATAACAAGGAAACAATGTAGAAACAGATGAGGCAAATAAATCAATGAATCAGAAGAAATTAAAGAATCACAATGTTAAAGTTAACTTCATGACAGAACAATAGAACTGGTGGTGGCTGGGATCCAAGAAGTAGCATCCTCAGTGTGAACATTTCAAGAAGAGGAAAATAGAAGCTAAATCCTTTTGGGGTTCTAGCTAGGAAGTTCTAGAACAAAATTTCCACTGCATTGTATTGGTCAGAGTAACCTTTCAGGACCTGCCTAGATTAAAGACGTAAAAAACAAACCTTTACCTTTCGGAGGCATTCATACATAAGGAAGAAAGGAATTGACTGCAGGAATTTTTGGCAGTGAGTTATTACAATGCACATTTTGGTTGTGACAATTCATGTTCCTGACATGGAAAATTCACTCATCACCTTCCCAGAAACCTTAAAGTCTTATCTCAATATAGCATCCAGTTCAAACTCAAGGACCAGAATCTCATCATCTAAATAAGTTTCAGGTAGATACATGAAACTAAAGTCAAGTTTTCTTTCTCATATTCACCCAGCATACAATAGTGAGGCAGGCATTATAGACCCTTGTTCAAAAAAGAGAGACAATGAGAAATACCTGGCAGAGAACAGTCCTTGGAGATTCTGAACTCCAAGTGGGCACATCTTTTCTACTACATGATTCTGGGAGCAGAGAATATATGTCATTTAGGGCCTAATTCTCTGTGAGAGTGGTTCTCAACTCTTGGCTTTTCTCCAGTAGATCTTGTCTCTTTTACTCTGAGTTGTCCTTTTCCATGAGAAATGGCTTGTTTGAAGCTGAGCAGCTTTCTCAAACTGCTGCTTGATTTATGGAGGTTGAAGGCCCAGAAGTCTCCTTATTTTGTGCAATCTCCATCCATTTTAGTATAAGCTGATATAATTCATTTAAAAACATCTTGCATTTCCTTTTAGTTTAATTATAATTCACTTCATTAAACAAAAGGCATTCTCACAAATGTCTTGAGGACAGGCCTCTCTGTAATTGCAGGTCTCTCTAGTTCGAGCTGAGGGTCAGGATATTAAGGTACAGTATTTGTAACAATCTTAGATACTCATTGTCTATTTGAGTGGTCTACAAAATGTGTCTATAAGATTCTTAGGAGTCTTTTGTCTAGCTAAGAGGTCTTTGAGACCTGGCTTAAATGTTTCTGAAGTCTTAAAGGATATTAGAGCTACACCCTTGATAAAAAATTATCCTGATTTTGTGGTTTACTAGCACTTCACTGGATTTGATCTTTACCCTGTAGTGACTTCTTCCTTAAGAACCTCGTGCTGACTGGAAAAGATGTTTTGCATTCTTTATATTTTCTATAAATTTGATCCCAAACTGAACGGTTTCTTAGTTCATTTCTCTCTTCTCATATTTGATGATATGCAGCTAGAAGTCATATGACATTTTCAGTGTCCTGCCTGGAAATTTCCTTCGCTAGATCTACAAATTATTAGGTAACCTCTTCCCTTTAGCAATTTCCATGAGCTTATTAATTCTACCTTTCTCATTACTGCAGGTGAAAGTGTTGCCTTTCAATTTTCTCATTGTTCTAGCCACCAGTCTCT